AAAAAAATAACAGACCAAAAATGTCTATTAACAGAAAAAAAATCAAAATATGATGAAGTCATTTATTGAGAGAAATACAAAGATTAGATCAAAAACAAAATTCAGCTATATGCTATCTGCAATACACAAGTCTAGAATAAAATGTCTCAAAGTTCAAAGGCAAAGTAATGGCAAAGACACACTAAACAAAAACAAGGAAGGCAGAGGTTAGAATATTAATATCCAAGTGAAACTGTAAACAGAAAGCATTAAATTGGGCCACGGTAATATTTGATAGGAGCCCTGGTGGCGCAGTGATTAAGAGCTCAGCTGTTAACCAAAAGGTCAACTGTTCAAATCCACCAGTTGCTCCTTGGAAACCCCATGGGGCAGTTCTACTCTGTCCTATAGGGTTGCTATGAGTCAGAATTGACTCGATGGCAATGGGTTTGGTTTTTGTTTCTTTAATATTTGATAAAAATGCTATTTATGCCCTAATAAAGCAGTAAGAAGAAATGAAAGCTTCCCAATTGTTTTTATGAAGCCAACGCAATCATGACATGAAAACGTGACAAAGATTTATGGGATCTCAAGGAAAAAATCTGGAAGAAAATATTAACAAATATCTAGTAATACATGAACATGTTATCATGAGGGATCAGTCCCTGGAGAAGGACATCATGCTTGGTAAAGCAGAGGGTCAGCAAAAAAAGAGGAAGACCTTCAACAAGATGGATTAATACAGTGGCTACAACAATGGGCTCAAACATAGCAACGATTGAGAGGACGACGTTGGACCGGGCAGCATTTCATTCTGTTGTACATAGGGTTGCTATGAGTCGGAAGTGACTCAATGGCACCTAACAACATTAACATACACACACAGCCCATGAACAAGTAGGGGCTTTTTCTTCAACTGCAAGAATACTACAATATTTAAAAAAAAAAAAATTTCCGTTAAGTAGCTTCCAACTCATAGCGACCCTATACGACAAAGCAGAACTGCTCTATAGGGTTTCCAAGGAGCGGCTGGTGGATTCGAACTGCCAGCCTTTTCATTAGCAGCCGTAGCTCTTAACCACTGCATCGCTAGGGCGCCAGTACAATATTAGGATGTTATGAATATAATTTTCTGTTATTAGTAGCTCAGAGGAAATAAAAATAATACATCCAATCATGATAGATGTTGAAAAGGCATTTAATAAAATTCAACAATAATATTTATTTTTTAATTATCTAGCATGATAGCGTCAAATGTTGACGAGATTTATTCTTCCCCTGGAGTTACTGTGCAGGGATCACAGAACAGATGATGCCCTGCTGGGAATAGAGGCACAAAACTCCCCAGGGCTGAGTTCCAAGAACGCCCAAGTTTGGTGTGGCTTTACAAGCGGGGAAGGTGAAGTCAAACCTTTGCAGGCCTTGACTGTGGAGAGAATAGGAGTAGGAAGAAATCACCTTTTGAAGGAGAACAATGTTACTGTTTTGCATGAGGAGAGTTAAATGGCTCTCATCTACACTGAGAACTCAGTTACCCAGAAGGTCATTCTCTAACAGTTCTGTACACCTGGGGTGACCATATGTCCCAGTTGGCCCAAGAGACTTCTGGTTTACACCTGTTGTCCCAGATAAAAGCACTCCCTAGGACACAGAAGTGTCCTAGCTTCACAGTAAACTGTATGGTCAAACTTAGTACACTAAAATTTTATGTTCGCAGGCATAGTAAGAGTTTATACGTGCACATCTTCAAACATATTCATATGTATAATTATCTAGCTACACCCTTCCAAAATAATATTAATTAAAGCCTAGTCTCAGCACAGACACCCACCCATCCGAAAACAAATTTAAAATCAGACAGAACTCCTAAAACATCAGAACTTCTCATGTTTTAATTACATCATCAAAAATGAACCATCAACCATAACTAACAATGCACAAACACCAGAAGATAAACTAGATAACTGAGAGCTCCTAAAAATTAAACACTTATGCTCATCAAAAGACTTCACCAAAAGAGTAAAAAGGAGAACCTACAGACTGGGAGATAATTTTTGGCTACAACATACCCATCAGGGGTCTAATCTCTAAAATCTATAGAATACTTCAACGCCTCAAGAACAAAAAGACAAATAATCCAATTAAAAAAAGGGCAAAGGATACGAACAGACACTTGACCTAAGAAGACACTCAAGCAGCTCACAGACACGTGAGGAAATGTTCGCAATCATTAGCCATTAGAGAAATGCTAATCAAAACTACAATGAGATACCATCTCACCCAAACACTACTAGTACTAATCAAAAGAACAGAAAATAAAAAATGTTCGGGAGTTTTTGGGGAGAGTGGAACTCTTACACACTGCTGGTGGAAATGTACAATGGTACAACCACTACAGAAAACAATATGGTACCTCCTTAAAAAGCTAGAAATAGAAATACCATACAATCCAGCAATCCCACTCCTAGGAATATATCCTAGAGAAATAAGAGCTGTCACATGAATAGTCATATGAACACCCATGTTCATTGCAGCATTATTCACAAGAGCAAAACTATGGAAACAACCTAAGTGTCCATCAACAGATGAATGGGTGAATAAACTATGGTACATATACACAAAGGAATACTACGCAAAGATAAACAATGATGAATGCGTGAAATATCTCACAACATGGATGAATATGAAGGGCATTATGCTGAATGAAATAAATCCATTACAAAAGGACAAATATTGTATGAGACCACTATTATAAAAACCCAAGAAAAGGTTTACGCACAGAAAAAAAATCTTTGATGGTTACAAGGGAGGAGGGAGTGGGATGGGAAATTACTGACTAGATAGTAGACAAGTGTTAACTTTAGTGAAGGGGAAGACAACACACGATATAGAGGAAGTCAGCACAGTGTGATCAAGGCAAAGTCATAGAAGCTTCGTAGACACCTCCAAAGACCTTGGGGGACCAAGTTACTGGGGCTGAGGGCTAGGGACCATGGTCTCAGGGGACATCTAGGTCAATTGGCATAACATAGTTCATAAAGAAAATGTTCCACTTCTGACTTTGGTGAGTAGCGTCTGGTGTCTTAAAAGCTTGTGACTGGCCATCTAAGATACATCTGTCAGGGTCCCAGACAGAGGAGAAAAATGTAGAACAAAATTCAAATCTACAAAAAAAGACCAGACTTACTGGTCTGACAGTGACTGCAGGAACCCCTGAGACTCTGGCCCCTAGACACCCTGCTAACTGAGAACTGAAGCCACTCCCAAAGACCACCTTTCAACCAAAGATTGGACAGGCCTATAACACAAACAGTAACACACATGAGGAACGTGCTTCTTAGTTCAATCGAGTATACAAGACCAAATGGGCACACCTGCACAAAAGCAAAGACAAGAAGGCAGGAAGAGACAGGAAAACTGGACGAATGGACCCAGAGAACCCAGGGTGGAAAGGGAAAGGGGTGGGGAGTGCTGACACATTGAGGGGACTACAATGAATGTCACAAAAAAAACTGTGTATAAATTTTTGAATGAGAAACTAATTTGCGCTGTAAAGTTTCACGTAAAACACAATAAAATTCAAAACAAAAAATGTACCATCATGTAGAAAAACCACACTGACTAAGGGTAAGGTTGCACAGCCAATTAATATAAGTGCTGTCAATAAGTTGTACACTTGTAAAAAGTTGAATTGGCAAAAGCTGTGTGACAGATATATTTACAACAAGAACAACAACAAAAAAGTAGCTGCTGAGGCTGCTTATGTACAACCAAACACCTCATGGGATTTGGTTCCTTGGTCCAGAGGTTTAGCGTCATGGTTTCATGGGACATCCCGGTTAACTGGCCTAATAACGTGGTTAGTGCTTCTGCTCGACCTCCTAGTTAGTTGTGTAGTGCCTGGGGTCTTAAAAGCTTGCAAGTAGCCATCGAAGGCACAACAATTGGTCTCTATTCACCTGGAGCAACAAAGGAAGATTAGGAATAGAAGGAGGAAATGGAATGTGAGGCTAACTGTGTCCATGAACAACTGCCTCCTTTGCCATGAGACCAGAAGAACTGGATGGTACCAGGCTACCATTACTGAGTATTTTGATCAAAGATTTTATAGAAGAATCCTGATAAAAAGGGGGGGAAATGCAGAAAAGGATTTCAAATTCTCATGGAATCCAGAATTTCTGGAACCATGGAGGCTGGATGAACCCCTGAAACTATCGTCCTAAGATAATCTTTAAATCTTAAACCAAAAATATCCCCTGAAGTCTTCTTAAAACCAAATAATAGTTTAGCTGAACTAATAAAAAAGATCTGCCTTGAGCACTGTGCTCTTTTAAGATCTATCTAGGTGCCTGGCTACCGCTACCAACTGCTCAGACAGGGATCACAATAAAAGGTCCCAGACAGAGGTGGAGAAAAATGGAGAACAAAATTCTAACTCACAAAAAAAGCCAGACTTACTGGTCTGACAAGAGACTGGAGAAACCCTGAGAGTATGGCCCCCGGACACCCTTATAGCTCAGTACTGACGTCCCTACTGAGGTTCACCCTTCAGCCAACGATTAGACAGGCCATAAAACAAAATGAGATTAAACATGCACACCAGCCCAAGGGAAAGGACAAGAAGACAGGAGGAGACAGGAAAGCTGGTAATGAGGAACCCAGGGTTGAGAAGAGGAGAACACTGACATGTCGTGGAGTTGGCAACCAACGTCACAAAACAATATGTGTATTAATTGTTTAATGAGAATCTAATTTGCTCTGTAAAACTTCATCTAAAGTAAAATAAAATAATGCTAATGGTAGAATCTAAAGGGTGTGTTCACTGTACAATTCTTTCAATTTTTCTGTACGTTTGAAAATTTTCATAGTAAATGCTGAAAAAAACGTAACCAGCCGAAAGCTAGATATTTACTTCCAATCTACATAATTTAATCAGCATTAAGACATTCTGAAGACTGAAGAGTCAGAAAGCCTTACTTCTGTAAAGAGGTGTACAGAGATGAGAAAGCAGCTCTACGCACCTATAGACTGAGAGCCAAATACTGCTACAATCTGGGGGCTGACCAAGGCCTCCAGCCTGTTCTTCAATGCCTCCAAGTGCACGCATTTTTCCGAATAGTCTGGTGTATCAACGAGCATCATTAAACTGTTTTGCATCCCTGTTAGCTTGGCAGAAATCATGGCTATGTCCTATAAAATGACCAGAAAACAGAATAATTATTTAAAATACCCTGCTACCTTAATCAAGCATGGACAAAATACATGAAAAGGCAATTCATAAAATAAGAAAACAGCCCATAAACACAGTATGTTCAACATTATTAACACTCAAACAAATGCCAATTAAAACAAGGAAGTACCATTTTCCTCCTAACAAACTGGCAAAACTTTAAAAAAATTATAACAGCTACTGTTGGTGAGGGCGCAAAGAAAAAAAGACAATCTGTCTGACCATAATAAATTTATACTGTCTTTCTGCAGGGCAATTTAGCAATACGTGCCAAGAGCCTTAAAAATATTCACATTCTTTGACCTGGTATTTCCTCTTCTAAAAATTTGTCCTAAGGAAATAATCAGAGGGACACAGGGAGATTAACGTGTTATAATTAACTAATGTGATTTTAGTGTTCTAAAAACAAAAAAACCCTGCAAACAAAAAACTGAAAACAAAAAACTAAATCTTCCAAAATAACAATAAAACATAAATTATGAGTCATTTGTAATAGAATCTGGAGTCCCTGCGTAGTGCAAATGGTTAAAGTGCTCAGTTCCTAACAGAACGGCTGGAGGTTCAAGTCCACCCAGAGATGCCTCAGAAGAAAGGCCTGGTCATCTACTTCCAAAAATTAGCTATTGAAAACCCTATGGAGCACAGTTCTATTCTGACACACGTGGAGTTGCCAAGAGTCAGAATCGACTTGACAGCAATTGTTCTTTTTTTTAAATGGAATGTGGAATACTGTTACAGCCATTAAAAATCATGTTTGTGAAAATTATTAATACATAGCAAAACACAACTTACTATAAAGTGAAACAGGATAAAAAGTTATACAGACACTAAATCCAATTTTTTATATACATACAAATGTATAAATACCTGTAAAAATAACTCCATATAGAAAATACAAACGTTTAAGTACAAATATATACAAACACATAGAAAAAGCACCTGGCAGACAAAAAAAAATGTTACTAGGACATAGGGCTATGAGTCCTTCCTGTTTTCTTGTATTCTTCTGTATTTTCCAAATCTTCTAAGACACACATAATTACGTTTATAATTAGAAAAACTAATGTTATTTAATAAAAGTAATTAAGAGAATAATAACTGATCCTATTTCATTTCAGCATTTAACAGGTATCCATGATGTGTCAGACGCTGTATTAGATGTCTGAGACACAAAGCTGAGTAAGGTCACATTTCAGCCCTTGAGTTCACAATGTATTGAGCTGGAAAGACTGTGTTACAATTTAAGAAGTATGGCTCAAGTGTCATAGGAGTACAGGTGAAGGAGCAATTAATTTTGCCTCAGGGAAGCAGGGAGCTGGCAGGGACAGGTATGAAAGGAAGTGACACGTTAGTTGGACACTGAAGGACGACTGGCTGTCTACTCTCCTGCAAAAAAAATTAAAAGAACTAAGGCATGAAAGGGGATGGTGTGTTAACAGCCTAGAGCAGGCAGAAGGGAAAATCATATGGAGGGAGTGGCCAGAGAAAAAGCTGGAAAGACGAGCTGCAGCGCTGTTGTGAAAGATAACCTATGCCTTGTAAGCGGGCTTAGAATTTATCCAATAGAAAATGGAGTTGAAAGTTAAAATAAAGGGGTGGGCAGGGAAAAGACATGACAATCTACGCTTTAGAAGATTCCCCTGGTTGGATGTGGAGGCTAAATTAGAGCATGGGGGGGACCTGGAGGCAAGGAGACCATTAGAGGACTGCTCTAGGAATACAAAGACTGAAGAGCATGACCAGAGTGATAGCACAGGGATAAAAAGAACAGACACACAGAGGAGAAAGATGGGAGGGAGCGAGGGAGGAAGAAGAGGGAGCAGTTAAGGATTGCTAAGGTTTCTAACCTGGACGCTTGGGTGGAAAATGACTCCATTAACCAAAGCCAGGGAGGTGAAACGAAAGAACAAATACAGGGTTGAGGGAGGTGGCACTGGACAGAAATAATGAGTTCAGTTTTTTGAGGTGTCACATCGGGGAGTCTAGCTGGATGGAATCAGACTTGTGGGCAGTTAGAAGTACAGTTGTGAATACCAGGATAGCTGCCGGGAGAAAAACAAGATTCATAACTTATAGCTAATTGACATTTATAATAAATACTAGTTTATTACTATTAAAATCAGGATCCATATCTAAATCCATCCTCTCCCATGATGCCAGGAATTCAGTAAGATTTGCAGTGTACATCTATGAAACCTGGATGGCTTGTCAAGCACTCTGAGGGGCTCTGAAATGGAATGGGAAAGAGTACAGCTCCTTAAAGATAATGATAATTAAACATAATGATAGCTGATACAGAATAATAGCTATATTGTTGAGTGAAAAAAGCAAAGTGCAAAGCAGTGTTCACAATGCGCTACCATCTGTGACAAATAATGGCAGGGAATGTGTATGCGTGTGTCCGTGTGTGTATCTGGAAGGACAGGCATATAGGCATAAACCTGAAAACAAGGCTTGTCTCTAGAACGGAAATTAGCAGATTGGGGGTCAGGTCAGCAGATTAGCATGTTAGAAAAAACACTGAATTTTCACTGTTTATTCCTGTTTACTGAATTTTATCCCACATGTATTTATAACTTTTTATAAAAAGTTAAAAAAAAAAAAGATAACTGATTTCGCTTTATAATTGAAAAAGGTTTTTCATAAGACATTATCTCACTTTACCTTTACAACCAGATATCAAAAGTATTACTATTACCAGGTACGTACCCAAAAGAATTGAAAGCAGATACTTGTACACCAATGTGCACTGCAGCCCTATTCACAATAGCCAAAAGGTGGAAACAATCCAAATGCCCATCAACAGATGAATGGATAAACAAAATGTATATCCATACAATGAAATACGACTCTGACATAAAGATAAATGAAGTTCTAATACATGCTACAAGGTGGGTGAACCATGAAAACATTATGCTGACTGAAATAAGTCAGTCACAAAAGGACAAATATTGTATGCTCCTACTTATATGAAATATCAGAATAGGCAAATGTATAGAGACTGTTATGGACTGACTTATGTCCCCCAAAAATGTGTGTTAACTTGGCTAGGCCATGATTCCCAGTATTGTGTGATTGTCCACCATTCTGTCATCTGATGTGATTATCCTATGTGTTGTAAATCCTACCTCTATGATGTTAATGAGGCAGGATTAGAGGCAGTTATGTTAATGAGGCAGGACTCAATCCACAAGATTAGGTTGTGTCTTGAGTCAATCTCTTTTGAGATATAAAAGAGAAAAGCGAGCAGAGAGACAGGGGGACCTCATGCCACCAAGAATGAAGAACTAAGAGGGGAATGCGTCCTTTGGACCCGGGGTCCCTGCACTAAGAAGCTCCTAGACCAGGGAAAGATTGATGACAAGAACTTTCCCCCAGAGCCGACAGAGAGAATGCCTTCCCCTAGAAATGGCACCCTGAATTCAGACTTCTAGACTCCTAGACTGTGAGAGAATAAATTTCTGTTTGTTAAAGCCATCCACTTGTGGTATTTCTGTTATAGCAGCACTGGATAACTGAGACACAGATAAAGCATGCCAGAAACCATGCAAAAGGACTGAGTTCAGACAGAGTTGCTGAGTCTTGGATGAGGCACTGGTATGGTTGGATTCA